CCCACGGCGGGAGCGCCACTGCGCTCCCAGAGCCGCACTCTCCCCAGTGTGCCATGGGCTCGGACCTATTTCTCTCTTTTTGAATGGGAGTATGTATCCTATGTTTGTCCCACCATTGTATCTTGGCAGTAGATAACTTGTTTTGATTTCACAGATAGAACTTTAAACTTTGGACTTTTGAGTTGAAACAAGTTAAGACTTTGGGGATGAAATAAATGTATTTATATGTGAAGAGGACATAAGTTGGGGGGGCCAGGGGGCAGAATGCCTTGGGTTGAATGTCCCCCCAAAACAATCCCCACTGTAACTATTGAGGGTAGGAAATCCTATTATGGGAATTGAAAGGTAGGGCCTTGAAGAGGTGATTTAGGACCATGCCATAGTGAATGGATTAATAATGTTGGTCAGGGGCATGGTTGTGAGGGCTTTAAAAGGAGAGCACATAAGGAGCTATCTCTCTCTGCTCTGCCATTTTCTGTCATCTGAGACCCCTGGGTCACTGTCACTACCACCAAGGCCTTCACCAGCTGTGTTCCCTGGACTTGGGACTTCCCAGCCTCTGAAACTTTAAGCAATAAATTTTGTTTTCTTTATAAAATACCCAGTTCTGTGCATTTTGTTAAAAGCAACAGAAACGGACTAATACATACTCGTACTAACCACTGAATTGTACATTTTAAAAGGGTGGATTTTATGGTATGTGAATTACATCTCAATAAAAGGAAAAATATAAAAAAGAATGAACTATTGATATACACAACAACCTGGAAGAATGTCACAGATATTATGCTGAGCAAAAGAAACACATACTGTATGATTCCATTTACATGAAGTGCAAAAACGGACCCAAAACCCCAGTATCAGATGGTTATTTATGGGTACCTACATATGTAGTAATGGAGAAAAAAATACTCATGAGGAAGATAAACACCAAGTGCAAGGCAGTAGAAGGAAGGAGGGAAATGGAATTGGTGCAAGGACTGCAACTGTACATGTAATATCTCATTTCTTTTAAAAACGATCTGAATACTCAGCCATGAAACTGATAGTCAACTCTGTACCTCATAAATATGTACAAGCAATTATGTTTCAATTCAAAACAACAAATATATAAAATAAAAAGGATCTGAAGTAAATAAGGCAAAATATTAATGTTTGACAAAAGTGAATGCTTGTTACAGCATCCTTTATACTTTTGGGGGCAAAACCAGCCAACAGTTTGGTTCCAAGGCCTAACGTTTGACTCCTTAGCCAGGCTTTGGTTGTTTTCCTCATTACTACTGACACTGAGGTGAGTCAGGCTCTGTCCCCACCCTGGTGGACTCCACTGTCTGGAAGAGACAAAAGTAGTCTAAATGCCGTGGGCTTGGACCAAGCAGGAGACTAGAACCCCAGATGATGCTAGGAGGGAGGGAACCAACCAGGGGAGGCTTCCAGGAAGAGAGGACATTGGAGCTAAGTCTCAAATGGAGGGCTGACAGAGAGGACATGGCAGCCTGGACACCCCACCCCCCACCCCCACTCCCGCCCCC